ACTAACCACTATACGATAGGGACGAGCAAATGGGATGGACAGTCGAGGCCTCACAGCGCAATGGTCCTAGGCCCCAAATTACACACAACAATATTCGAAACCACACTGTATTACCATACAATTCCAAACCTCTCCATGCGGGGCCAACATTGACGGCTTCAATTGCCGGAGAACCAGTTTTGGGTTTGGTGGCGTACTTATTATTATAGTCCACGTCAGAACATAATATGTGTGCTGGATCCGAGAACATTAATATATATTGGGTCTTCTTACTAATGCAGGCCCGTCAGCAGCATAGGGTGATTATGATATATGTGATGAATGATGGGAGCGAGGGGAGAACCTACAATCAATCAGCGGCAGCAGAACAGGATGAAGGACGCTGTGAAGCGGAAGGACGCCATTTACGGACAACCATATATAATACTACATTTTCACCCCTGCACCAGGCCCTCACCACTTTCACATCAAACCTGCCAGTGTTCCATCGGGGTACATTTGAAGATAGATGTGGCTTAACATGTGGAGCTCGAGCACATGCACCGCCACCTCACGTAGGCGGGCTGTGCCTTTCCTGATCACTCGTGTGAGTTGCTGTTGCTGCTGCAGCTGTTGCTGCTGCTGCTGCTGCTGCTGCTACTAGTATACTACTGCCGCTGTATACTACTGCCGCTGCAAGAAGCTCACTGAACTACCCTAAGGCACTGATTGGGTGGGTAACCCATGGGTTACCCATCGGTTACCCACCTTCAACCCCCCGTAGCCCATAGGTAACCCCCTTGTAAGTTCCTACCCAGCAGGAGGGGTAACACGGCCCCAGGGTAACCCCCTCCGTTGCCCTGGACTATGGACATGGGCCTATAGGCTACTCATCTTATTTGCTGCGTAAATGTACATGTTGAACCTACAGTATCCCGGTAGCTCGGGAAGCATCGTTCGCCAATATGAATTAAAGGCCTCTAACGCTACAGGAAAATTATAGTAGAAGATTTAGAACTATGTATGTATTCAGTTCTAGCGTTTGTTCCCGCTTTGAGGGCATGAAACTCCCGTGCCGTATTATTGTCCCTAATAAGATTATTCATTCGCATTCATACAGTTCGAAGTGGATTGGGGAACGCAATTTAGCTTGAAATCCATTGTGTCTCTGGCTAGTCCTGAAAAGAAATCAATCGTGGATTGACAAGTTTCCCTTTCCCTTCTTCGCCGGTCAATCGCAGACACCTCCGCGCCAGGCTCTGCCAGCTGCAGGCTTGTGGCAAACGGCCGCTGAGGGGCGACTGGACAGCCGGCGGGCCGGGACGGGGTTGGTTCGGTCGAGTCTTTTAGCCCAGTAGTGTGGCCTTGAGAGCTCAGAAGGGATAGTGCTTGGTGTAGGGGGAAACTAGTCAGCTTAACCTGCAGGGATTTTCCCGGGTTCAGGAGGTAGCTACCTCTATAGATGTCGCCACATGAGAGTCTGAGAGTCGTTCGAAGTTCTTTGGATAGGTTTATGCGTCATGCGCGTGTTGCCCCGCTGAGGGCATTGGTGGGCAGCACGAGGGGGGTATAGTGGCCGTGGGGCTGGGGTTGTGTTTTTCTGCAGTGTAAGGACCCTTAGCAACTTGTTTCCGCCTTCCCATATCAACCATCCAGGAAAACAGAAATGAAGAGGCCACGCGTACGTTGGTAATTTCATTTATCCCAGAATCCCAGCCCAAAATAACCGTCATAGCTTAGATTTGAATTCAGGTTCAAACCTGAGTGGAATCCGGAAGAGTTCATTCTCTATGGTATCACTTCAGTAAAAATAACTACAGCGGTTGAGGCAAGTCTGGCCATGTTAAGACAGCTATACACCTGACAAGAACCCATTCACGAAATCCTGCAGCTGACTAGCATCTTAAGCTATGAATACGAACGACAAGTAAGGGAGCCTAAGGCTCTATGTATCCGAAGGATGATGTAGCTATTGTTTGGAAGCGGCCACCTTCTCCACTGCCGCCTCAAGAAGATCTTCCTTTTCAACCTTATCCCCCTTCAACCTTATCGCCTGCCGCCTCTATCCCCCGCCGCCTTCATCCCCTGCCGCCTCCTCCCCTGCCACCTCCTTCCCTGCCGCCATCATCCCCCGCCGCCTCCTCCCCTGCCGCCTCCTCCCCTGGCGCTTCTCGCCTGCCGCCTTCTTCCCCGCCGCCTTCTTCCCCTGCCGCCTTCATCCCCTGCCGCCTCCTCCCCTGCCGCTCCTCGCCTGCCGCCTTCTTCCCCGCGGCCTTCATCCCCTGCCGCCTTCTTCCCCTGCCGCCTTCTTCCCCGCCGCCTTCATCCCCGCCGCCTTCTTCCCCTGCCGCCTTCATCCCCTGCCGCCTCCTCCCCTGCCGCTCCTCGCCTGCCGCCTTCTTCCCCGCGGCCTTC